TGTCTCTGTGTTTCTGTTTTGATTTCAATGTTTCCAATCGTCATCAACCCCTGGTACCGAATGGTCTGATAGCCTCATCTATCTACCAACCCATATGAAAACTACGATGAACATCAATTAAACAAGAAGCGCATGGCAAATTAGGAAAGAGCATCAGGAGCCAATTCAAATGAGTATAAACATGAAAGTGACACTAAGGAAATAAGGAGTACGATTGGAAAAAAAAAATTTTGATGGCGCTATCAAGAGAAGATTCCGGAAAAAAAACTTTTCGAAACAAAAACGAAATTGAAAGCGCATACCATACAAGGATAGAGAACGAAGAGCTGATTCAAATGAGTATAAACACGAAAGTATGAGCTGGGAAACAAGGCTCAACATTGATGAAAACAAGATTTGGTCGCGACATCAGAAGAGGATTTTGGGAAAAAAAAAACTTTTCCCGGGATCGACTAAATGCTTAGCGCATATCATAATGGCAAAGAGAATGAAAAAACAAAATGAATGAGTACAAATATGAATATAGAACTCGAAAAGCAAGGCTCAACATTGACAAAAAAAATTTTGATTGCGACATCAGGAGAGGATTTTGAAGAAAAAAACTTTTCGAAACAAAAACGAAATTGAAAGCGCGTATCACAGTTAGAAAGAGAATGGAGAACAGATCCCAATGAGTATAAACATGAAAGAAACAGTTGAAAAACTAGGCCCAACATTGACGAAGTAAGTCTTCGACGGAGCGAACAGTCAAGAGACAGAGCCATCAGTCAAGAGACAGAGCCATCAGTCAAGAGACAGTGCCATCAGTCAGAGGAGCATTGCCTAACCAACGAACGCAAAATTCTAAACCGCATAGGATAATCACGAAAAGTACAATAGAATCGAAGGAAGAAAGCGAACAATCAAAACACGTACTAACCAAGGCTCCTCAACGATGATACAAGAGGAATCTTGATTGGAATGGAATGGAAGGTGTTTCCAAAGGAAATGGATGTGCTGAACATACA